CATAGCTTGCTAGTTCATATGGAAGGAAAGAAATAAGCTAATATTTGAGAATGAAAGGCCTGGTGAAGGCAGTACAAGTAGATTGGCATGTATCTACTGGTCAAATTTTGCAGAAGCTGAAAACTTGTATAGGAAAGCTGGCTTGCAGGTTGGTGGCAGATGTGAACTGGTAGTGAGATAGATACCTCCTATTGGATGGATTAAAGTTAACATTGATGGATCTTACAAAAGAGATGTCGGGCAAGGGGGATGTGGTGGAGTCTTGAGGGATGGAGATGGCATGTGGCATATGGGATTTGCAAAAAAATTGGGAGCTTGCAGTGCTGTGAAAGCTGAGATTTGGGGAATTCTAGTTGGTCTCCAAACAGCCTGAAACCTTGGATTTATGAAAATCATCATTGAAGAGGACTCCCAGGTGGCTATCAACATGATCAAGGATGGAGTTTCGGACAGTCATCCTTTGGTGAGTTTGATTAATAAGGTAGAGATAAAAAAAATTTGCGAATAAGCAACAAAACTCATTAAAAATAAACATAATATTTTTTTTTTCATTTTTTTTATGGACTATACATATCAATCCTCGTGGATCATCCCTTTCATTCCACTTCCAGTCCCTATGTTAATAGGGGCTGGACTTCTGCTGTTTCCTGTGGCAACAAAAAATTCGGCGTTCTGCGCACAAAGGGGGAGCACACTTATAGCGACATAAGTGAGAGAGCGGGATTGAGAGGACCCCGTGGGGCTCGAGGAAAGAGCTGAGACTCTGCAAAAAGAAAATGGAAATGAGATCAAAGGTAACGATATACCTCTCATGTCAAGGGTAATGGCAGAATAGTAGTCCAGAGTACGATTCAATCATAGAGATTGGCAGGTAGAATATGTTCATATATTTAGAGAAGGGAATAAAGTAGCCGATTGGATGGCTAATGCTGCTACTTCTTTAGATTGGGATACTAGTCTGTTTGACTCTCCTCCGAAGGGGTGTATGGGTGTTTTGGGCAGTGACTTGAGAGGGGTGGGTTGGCCTAGATTTGCTAGAGGCTTGTAGTTTGCTTTATTTCCTTTGATATTCAAATATATATATATATATATATATATATATATATATATATATATACTCTGCAATATGCAGGAGATAAATGAAAAACTTTTAAGATGAATCACATAAACACTGTATAGTGGAGATCAATATCATAATGAAAAAACGAAAATGATCCATAACATATAAAATGTTTGATACTAGTGCACCACCAATTGAATGTTGAATCAATAGCTAATTAATCATGATAAACCTACATTTGCACTATACAAATGGAAAGAAACTTGTTGAAAGATTATGTTATAATCTCGACTAGTCTGTTGTGCTCATATGAGTTTGTGGCATCTTTTTTTCAAGATATTTTGCTATATAACAGAAAGAACTGAAATCGTGATCCTCAGCAAGGGATTCAGCAAATTCAAGTATATCTTCTTTTCTTTCATTTTCTAAAAAAAAAAACTCTATGAAACTCTATGATTCACCAATACACTAATAAAGATTGCATTAAAAGAACCCAACATTGCGATGAAATTATAAATTTATAGCCAAAAATCTAAAAGACTAAAATGCAACGACAATCTCTCACTGCATACAACACTAAAGAAGGAGTTACCTGGACTCTGTAAAATGAGAGATTTCAACTTGAGCGTATGGAATTATCAGAGTCAGTAATTTGAGAGAAGCATTAGGGAGAGGATAAAATCGAGAAAGCTAAAAGAGAGGGTTAGGGTTTGTACCCGCACTACAAGAAAATGTGTGTTTTGCGACCGATGATTTGCGACGGTTAGTGGCTAACCGTCGCAGAATAAATCACAACGACGGTTGCTTCGACGTTCTACTGAATCGTAGTTGAAAATCACAATTTGACGACGGCTTTTAGCGACGGTTATAAACTGACGCAGAATGTTTAATTTGACGACGGTTTGAACCGACTCAGTTTAAAGACGGTTACAAACCGACGCAGAATGTGACATTTAAGGCGGTTAGCAACCGTCGCAGAATATAAATTTCATAATGGTGGATGTTTTTGTGAACAATGGCACTTAGTATGATTTGAACACGCTATACATTGGAGGAATTCAATGACAACAACCACTATGCCATTGAATTTATTGTAATATATTTATTACATACTTTTGTATAAATTTAAATCAACCTTTTCAACCGAGTCAATGATGGGTCTAGTCTTCATAACATTAGTTCAACCATCATTTTGTGGCTTTAATGTCTTTTATGTTGAATTTATCTCCTACACACATATAAAATTGTGTTGGACCCATCTTTTCATTCTCTTTTCTTTTCTCATCAACCCATATACTTTTATATGTGTAGGAGATAATTTTATCTCTTACAATATGAGAAACATCGAACCATAATTTTGTTGAGTATCCCCCCCCCCCCAAAATCTCTTTGCTATAATTTGGACATAAAGCACCGAAATTGAATATTGGTTACATAATTTCTATAGTAATTTCTCTAATATTAATATAAAGGTCGGGGCAATTAGAATGATGAAAACTTAATTGATAGAGTAGAATCTAGAAATTCAATGATGTAATATAAGGAGTAGTAAATATTGATCATGGATATCAATTTTGAGAGTTTGTTCATGTCATTGCATGTGTATACAAGACATGCTAGGTTACAATTATTCATATAATAAGGAGATTGCAAGAGAGGTGTACATAGTGAAGGATAACTACATATGTATAGTGGCAAGAAGGAGGTTGGGATTAGTTAGAAAACATAATAACAAGTATATTAAAAATATAAAAGTATATGTAATTTAAATTAAAATATTTTCAAAATATAATTTTTATTTGAATATATATATGTTTTAATATTATATTTTTTGTATATATATGTTTTTTATTTTTTTCTCAACTGATAAAAATTCGTATTTCATAAAGAAATATAAAAACTTTGTATTATTTTCCTTAAAAAAACTTTAAAATGCTATCTTTTGAAGAAATAAATATTAAAAAAATATTTTAATTAATAGATAAAAAAGGATAAAAATGTAACTTTAATAAAATCATTATAATCACAATGAATTTAAATTGATAAAAATTAACATAAAATTATATAATATGTGGGTGTGCAATCCCACCCCAAAATAATGTTTATTACTACGATTACCACAAAAAAAATGTTCATTACTACAATTGTGTTGTAAGTGTGGGTGTGCATTGCTCATAGGTGTGCATGTGTGTGTGTGTATGCATATGCATATGCTTGTGCGTGTATGGGTGGGTGTGCGAGCATATAGGTGTTAGTGGGCATACGCGCATGGGTGTGTGGTTGCGCGTGTGTGTGGGTGAGTGTGTGTGCGCGTGGGTGCATAGGTGTGCGTTTTGGGTCTGCTCATACTTCATCTTCAGACGACGATTCTTTTTGGTAGGGAGCAAAAAAAGGGAACGAGAGCCTTGCTTCCCAGTGAGCAGGCGAGGTTTGAGGTAGTAGCCCCGACGGGGTGTGAGGGCAGCAACCCCAGGACCGTGGAGGATAAAAATAAAATGATAGGAAATATAGTAATTATTAATTAATAGAAATTTTAATTATAAAAAAACTTAAATATTTTTAAAAAACAAGGGATAACTTTATTTTCACTCATTATGGTTTTATAGTTTCTCATTTGAGTCCCTTTGGTTTTAAAGGAACAATGACCAATGTGCCACATTTTTGGCATTAATATAATAAACTGCCACGCGAACAATAAAATTTACCAGGATGCCACGCGTTGAAGTTCGCTATGACTGATAGCAAACTTGGTAGCAATGATTTATTGGCACGTGGCACACTTTCGCAGGAAGTCGCTACGACTCGCAGCGAACTTGGCAGCCAATGATTTCATGACATGTACATTTTTTGAAGTTGACTAGACGAAGTTCACTACCAGGGGTAGGGAACCTGGTGCGCTACGTGGCACAATCTCGTTGCCCGATCAGAATTAATGTACCAATCATAATCAAAAAAAGAAAATTAAAGAAAATGACAATTTGATTAATGTACCAATCACAATTAATGTATCAATCACCAATCACAATTAATGTACCAATCAAAATTAATTGTGATTGGTACATTAATTGTGATTGGTGATTGATACATTAATTGTTTGTGATACCATTGTAACAAATTCGAATGATATTTGTGAGAGATAAAATATGTCAAATGAGGTGTCATTGAGTATATCTCGAAAAGTTATGTGAAATAAAATAAAAAATATATGATGTCGATATCCGAATAAAAAATTATGGCCCTCCGAAGTGATTGGTGATTGGTACATTAATTGTGATTGGTACAATCAAAAGATAATCTCATTGATACGCTAATTATGATTAGTAATTGATATATTAATTTTGCCTTTATAACCTTCGCAATTCATACTGTAAATAATAGTATTCGTCTTGATACATATTCTGATATTCGTAATATTTTATATAAATTTTTTAAAATCTGTATAGTAATACAAATAAAAATATTATAATAATTGAACAAAATTTATATTTATAATATATAATGTTAATTTTTTTAGCTTTAAAGTTATCCCAACTTTTTTTTTAAATATTGGTTTCACTTTTTTGATGGTATAAAAATATCACGGTTTCTTTCCAGCTTGTACGTTAGTTTAGAATGTGAAATTGACTAAGTTGCGCAATATTGATTCATAGAATGCAACCTTATTTTTCAAATAATTATCAATATATTAAAATTTGATTTCTGAAATCTTCAAGACTTGAAATGGAAAAGATAAAAATACATATTTACTGATAAAAATACATATTTACTTGAAATATTCAAGATAAAAATACATTAAATACATATTTTATTTAAATATTAAAGATAAAAATATTTACTGAATTATTAGTTTTGGATTACCGCTCCTTACTTTTTCGCTTTCCCCCTCCCTACCTTTTCAATTTCCCCCTCCACAATACCCTTTCAGTTACCTTTTCACCAAAAACACTTTTCACTTTACGCGCTCCACAATTTCTTTTCTCCTTGTTTTCTTCCCTGCTGCTACTGCTTCTCTGTCTTTCTCCATCAGTAGGTTCGTTTCCCATTCAACATTTTCATTCTCTTCTCTTTGGTTTCCCATTCTGCATTCTCAATCACTTGAATTTGTGAACCCTAAAATCTCTGCATGTTTTTTCTTTTTTCTTTTATTTCTGTTTTTATATCTTTTGTCCCTTTACTCACTCTCACAGATCGCCAGCGTGATTCAAGTTGCAGTCTCAACCTCACCAGCGTCGCCACCCATCTGTCTCCGGTAATGTCTTATATTCCCTTTCTGTCTACCATATGTCTATGTGAGAAAATGTTTTTGTTTTTCTTTCTTCATGAAAAGAAACAACGCATGGTATGTCTCCCACATCTGAGATGAAGAATGGCAAAATAGGTAGATAAACGAAGTAGGTTGATCCGCAGCCAAAAAAAATAGAGCCTCCTAAATTGAGGCATCAAATACCAACTTGAATGGAAAATTTATAACAGAATATTATATCTGATGATATCTCTATACAGAGAGTCGATATATTATATAGACTTAGAGAAGTAATTATGTACCTAGATGTCTGTATTGAAAGGATATTTGTTAATTTGAACATGCCTCTCTACCCTCAACTTGTTTTTCAACCAATCGGGTCAACGACTTTGGTTAATTAACATAATTTGGGGAGTTTGTTTTTTTTTTTTTTTTTTTTTAAATAAAGAAATAATTGACCACATGGATAATTGGCTATTTGCAAATGTTCGGTAGTGAATAGAAGTTGGAATATAAAACTCCTCTGGGGCAATTGCTAAGAATTTGATGGAAGGTTGGTTAGCTTTGTTCTCTATCTCTCTCTCTGTATTGTTTTCCCTTATATTTATCAATTTTATAATTTTCTCATTAATTTTACAAGTTTAAACTTTAGCATAGATTGTTTGTAGTATCTGTTAAAATATAAACTCGATGAAACATTTATATAATGATATCTATTTATACAGAGTAATAGTAATCAGATGACAGTAAACTATTAGTAAAATTTTGGGTTAGAAATGTATCGTATACTATTCCAATATTGGATTTAGGGTTTGAAAGTTATAGTTTAATGATGGAGGAGTTGGCTGGAAATTGTTGCATGGCTTCAAGTTGGGAAAACATGTCCTAAGGTTGATATAGTATTGAGATTTATGAGGAAATAAAAGCATTTAAATGGAAGAGAAAAATGGGAGATAAAAATTTCAATGGTATAGTTGCAATTTTGTCAAGGAGTTGTCTCTTAATTGCTGTGTCATTATTCCAATATGAACTCGAGGTTGTGTTCAAAACTTTGTTTCAAAAGAAAAATAGAAATTATTATCGAATGCTCTTCGGATGACTTAACAACCATAATTGTCACATTTCCTAAAACCGGGTTTCTTTTTTTACGATCAATATGTTACATAAATTGAATGACTGGTCGTAGGAAAGTTCGTTTGAATTAAATGAGTAAAAGATACTTGAAAGGTTTTTGAAAACAAATTAACCTGTACATGTTTAATATCCCATTTTTTGCATGTAGTGCTTAGTGATATATGCTTGTAAACAAATTATGATATATACTTGCAAACAAATTAAATAAATAAAAATGCTATTTCGGCAGCTGCTGAGTCTGCTAAAGAAGAGAATCTTGCTGTTTTTCTTCAAGATGATGAGATATTAGAAAGTGAAGGACCAAAGAAGGTCTTTCTGTTGAGGATCTGTTGGTTGCATTCTTAATTCCATTTATATTATACAAGAATGCCTTCTTTTTGTATGTATATTTGTAGGTTCGGCGGGTTGATCCAATTTTAGACATGGAAGCAGACCAAGGAGACGATTACACTCACCTTCTTGTATGGTGAATGAAATTATTCCTTAGTCTCATGTAAGAGGTTTTCTTATATCATGTTTTTTTTTAATATTTTTTTTTTTGCAAATGTTACCCATTTAAAGTAAAAATTTTAGTTGCAACTTATTATCATACTTTGCGTAAAATAGTGCTACATCTCTTATTACATTTTGCTAGCAATTTTGGTAAGAGGATAATTGGCAATCAGCTCTGGATGGCATGCTTATAGTTATGTAAATTTTTTTTTTTTTTCATTTCAAGGATTCAAACCCATATTTTACAATTCCTTTCCTTAAAGTTTCTAAAACTAACGATAATGACATTGTAAATGTTGATATTTCTCCAAGGCAATTTACTTAGGTAGTGGAAGACACTTTACTTAGGTAAAACATTCAGTACTCTATTGTCAGTGTTTTACATTCATGCACTTCTCTGCTTTGTGCTTATTGGTTGTAATATACAAGTATACTTAATGAAAACAACTTACTAGATGTAAATTTATGTTAATTGAAATGCCTTTGCAGTACTTGTAATTTATGGCACTTGTAATTTGTTCTAATTTAAATATTATTGATTAAGAGGTCTTTATTTGTCATTAAAATATTGTCTTCATTTGTAATTTGCAAGCTTCATGTTTGGAATCCTCCATTGGTATCAGAAGGATTTTACCAAATATTAACATATCATCCACACAACAAGGTCAAAATGAAGGATTAGCGACGTCTCTTGATGACTTTTTCATGGATAACATTTAATTTCTAGTTATTTTGAAAACTTTGGAATGACATTTTATTGGATTTTTTTGTGATCTTTAATTTCTTTTTAGATTACGGTACTTTGAGATCTTTATTTTTTGTTTAGATTACATCACTATGGGGGTTACATTTTGTTGGACTTTATTGTGATCTTTATTTTTGGTTTAGATTGCAATAATTTGGGATGATATTTTGTTAGACTCTTTTGTAATCTATACTTTTTGTTTTGATGATAGTACAAAACTTTAGGTTTGATATTTATGAACATTATGATAAATGGTTTACCAAAAAAAAGTTATGATAAAAATGACATTTTTATGAATGATCCTATTTTGTTAATAATTTTAATTATATTTGGACGACATGTCATTGTGGTTTCATTGCTAGTAAATAAACTTAAGATATATTTCAATAAATTATGTATAGCAATAATATTGTATATTTGAATAAATTTATAAAAAAAGTATTTCAATAATAAAAAAATAACAAATGACTATTATCCAAATTTTTAAAAATTGGATTTTTGAAATATTTCATTTACAAAAAATATTATGTGGCGGCCACACTGCCTTGGTAACCGTCGTTATATTGATCTCGACGGTCGTTCCAGCGGTTAATTTCAACCGTGATTGATTCTTTCCCGACGATTTAATTAGCGACGGTTGGTTAACCGTCGCACTACGACTTTAGCGACGGTTATAACCGCCTCAAAGACGATAGAAGAATAAAGGGATCGGGTTTAATGTGTTTTTAACAATTCACCGGGGGCGGTTTTTCAAATCCTAAATTTGGCGCATTGGGCGTTTGGAACGAACCTGTGGTGGTGTGGTTCAAGAAGCCAAGAAGGGAAGATAGAGAGATTCAATGAATATATATTTGCTCTGAAAGAGGTGCTATGAGAAGACACCCCCACATAGCTGCAATCCCACCCACAAGCACCTCTTTCTCTATACTTTCCCAAAACCGTATCCGAACGTTGTTTTCTTTGGTGGAGTTAATACAAGAAAAGTTATACTTACAATTTTTTTTTTTTTACAACTTCTTACAACCATGTCTTAACACCGTTGATTTACGCCAATCAACGGTTATTAATTATTTATTAATTCATAATAAATGATAACCGTTGATTGGCGTAAATCAAAAGTGTTAAGATATGGTTGTAAGAAATTATAAAAAAAAAAGTTTTAAGTATAACCTTCCTCTCAACGAACATAAAATTTCTAAATCATAAGTAGATATCGAACACGAAAAAAAGAAAGATCAATAATATTGAATTACAGTAAACATCTAGTTAACCATATGCTATTAACAATAACCAAAAAACTGTTTGGAACCATGGAACTAGTACAATCCAGCACGTGACATCCGCATCCACTCAATTCAAGATTTGATATCTGTGAGGGAGGAAACAATTGAAAGTGGTTGTGGTCGCAGTGAATTGAACTTCTTCTCTTGTGCTATAGCAACCAAATTAAGCTTCAAATTTTCCAAAGAAGCCTTGAAGTTCTCAAGATCGCCCAAACTCATCTCCTCAATCGAATTTTCCCACCAAAAGTTAAAGAAGCTATCAGTCATGATTTGTGACATTGCTTGCAGATGCATCTTTCTCTCCTCCAATTGAGCCTCGGAGGCCTCATATTGTAGAATTAAGGATTCAAGTGCCTGTTGCTTCTTCCTTTCATCATCACGGACATATCGGTTGGGATCCGAATACCTTCCTGCAACGAAGCGTTGAATGACAGTGTCTGTACTGGGATAGCCACAAGCATGAAGGTTGCCATTCTTCTCAGAGTTGATGATCAATGCTATTTCTGCCTCGCATAGAATGGATAATTCAGTGACTTTGTTGAAAAGCCCTACTTCATGTTTGGGGAAAGTCATTCTTTCCTTGATCTTTTGTTCCACTTTCTTAATTTCAAATTTTCTCTTGCGTGTGTTTGGCTTTGTTGCCATGTTTGTGTTTGCTTGATAAAGACAGACTCACTGTGATTTAAGAAAAGAGAAGAGAAAGGAGAGTTGATTATAATGAGAGAGACTGTTTCTATATATAACCCTTTGATTACCTATTCACTCAATATCTTTACATATCTAACACATATCTTGTGTATCAATAGCTGTATTCACACAACTCACAAGAGTACGCTTAAATATATTTCCTTTTTTAATTAGTTATCGCTATTAATACATATAACTGCCTATCTGAAAGTTATACAACTTCCTTTTTTTATGTCCGTTACTTCGATTTCCGAATTGATCCCAAAAATCATTCATTACTTTATTTTATTATTATTATTACTAGCTACCAGAATACCATATTTTATAATTACTTCCTATTAATATAACCCGTTTTGATTTTACAACATCAAATTACTTTTCGAGTGAAAAGTTGATGGACATACAATTGACTGGTTTCATCATTGTTGATATTGATTATAATGACAATAATAGAAAGTTGATTGGCTCCATTAATATTAAAAATTTAAATTTAATTTATTAGCACTACTTTTTATTAGAAATAAAGATAAATCAATTAGTTGACTAGAGTAAAGCAGCGACTTTCCTTTAATTTGTACAAATTTTTTATAAGTAATTTAAAACGGAAACAAGAGATTCTACTCAATGTAATCAAAATCGAGATATTACTTGACATGTAAATCATGGAATTGAAGATATGGATCCTAATATCTCATTTAAAATACAAAGTTATACTCAAATATATAAATATATAATAATAATAATAATAATAATAATAATAATAATAATAATAACAACAACGTAACTCAATTTTTAGATCTATCATAATTTTATAATAGTATTATTATTTAAAATCCACATATTACAAACAGTGTTGTGAAACCCGGGTCGACTCGAAATCTGGCAAACCGATCATCGGACCGGTTCGGATCAAGCATTGTGTAAGAACCCGCACCGCTAAATTAGGAATTTAAATAATTTAATTGTGAGTTAAGAAATAATTCCATAATTGACTTTGAATAAATATGGAAAGAGCATAATAATTATATTAAGTCACTTTTCAGAAAGAAAGTGAAAACACTGGGTATTTCACGGTATAAATGAATAACGGCGAAATAATCCAAAAAATAGAAATAAAAATATGAATATTCCTAGAAAAATATCTAGGTTAAGAATATCAAGTTTGGGGTAAAAATAATAAACAATGATGTCAGAACTAACACCGACTATTTCGCTGTATAAAACGCGTACCAGTGAAGCTTGTCTACGAAGGCAGGGGTTACACTATTGATTTGTTTATCTTGCCCCTGGCCTCTGTTAATCTGATTTTGGGTATGGATTGGTTGTCTCAAAACTGCGCAATGATTGATTGCCGCGGAAAGATGTTGATATTATCTCATGAGAAGCCCGCTGTTTGTCCGTCTCCTTATCTGTCTGTCTCAGATGTTAAGTCCTTAAAGGTTGGTGATCTTGGTTATGTGTTCTTGGGTGGAATTGTTGGTGATAAGGAAGAAGAAATTTCAAATATTCCGGTGGTTAATGAATTTGCTGATGTATTTTCTGATGAGATACCAGAGTTTCCACCTGAGAGGGAGATTGAATTCTCCATTGACTTGTTGCTTGGTATGGGGCCTATCTCTTTGGCTACATACCGGATATAGCCACTGGAGCTGGCTGAGTTGAGGAAGCATATTGAAGAGCTATCTGCAAAGAACTTTATCAGTCCGAGTGTGTCTCCATGGGGAGCACCAGTAATATTTATAAAAAAGAAGGATGGTAGCATGGGATTGTGTATTGACTATCGGCAATTGAATAAGGTTACGATTAAGAACAGGTACCCTTTACCCCATATTGATGATCTTCTGGACCATTTGAGGGGTGCTTGTGTGTTTTCGAAGATTGATCTCCGGTCCGGATACCACCAGATCCGGATTAAGCCGGAGGATGTGTCTAAAACGGCGTTCCGATCCAGATACGAACATTTTGAATATCAGGTGATTCCTTTTAGGCTTACTAATGCCCCGACGGTGTTCATGGATTATATGAATCGCATCTTTAAACCATATCTGGATCAGTTTGTTCCTTCGGGCTCTGTATTGATTCCACTCCTGCTCCATCAATTCCATTCTTCCAAGGTAGGTGGCCATGCTGGAATCCGTCGAACACTCATCCGGATTAGTGCCTCTTTCACCTAGAAAAACATTAAAAAAGACATTCAGGAGTAGTGCCTCTTTCACCTGGAAAAACATTAAAAAATATTCAGACAAGGTAGCTCAGGTATTTTGGGACACGGTAGAGAAGCTACACGGACCCCATATTCACTAGTGAATTCTGGAAGACTCTTTTCAAGTTACAGGGGACTGCGCTTC